AGTCTCAGGGCCGGTCGTTCTGATGAACGACCGAATATGGCCCTTGGGTTCAGGCTAAAAATGCTATTACCATCTTTAGTCTGAACCATCGCAGGGGCTGTAGGCCCTGAAAGTCAGGCTTTCGGCCTGAACCGAAATGGGGCCTATAAGCCCTGAATTTCAGGCTTTCGGCCTGAAATCCAGGGTTTTGGCCTGAATCCAGTCGGGCCTGCAAAATGGCCCGTGTGAGTGCACGCGCTGCATGTAACACCCTCCCCTCCTTATGAAGTCAAGCTGGGGCGAGGGCGAAGCCGTCGGTATGAAGGTGGAACCTGGACGCGGGCGCGGCGTGGAGCCGAAGAATCCGGCTTGCCTCGCATCTTGCGTTCGTAGCGTGCGAGAACGTCTGGAGCTGTCGCTTGCAGTTCCGCACGGGTCAACCAACGATCAGCTCGATGAGTGCAGTAAGCAAAATGCATCAGATACTCAGTTGGCTTGTTGCCGTAGCGTCGCTGGGAGATGATGTCGCCGACCTCCTGAAAACCATCCATAGAAGGTGGATCCTGCGTACGTCTCCCGGAAAAATCATCATGTTCCGCCGGCCTGTACAGAGCCAATTTGGAACAATGAAAGACTGGGTAGACAGGCAAGTGACTAGGCACCTGAATCGTGAAGGAAGGCCCCTCGGGTGCGTCCCCAGCGGGCTCAATGATCGGCCAAGCCCCCATCCATTTCGGAAGGAGCTTGCGAGAGATGTCCTGTTCAAGGCTGAATTCCGCTGCTGAAACCCAGACAAGGTCTCCGGCGTGGAATGGACAAGGAAGACGCTGGCGATTTGCCTGTTGGCGCATGCGCTGTTGCGTCTTAGCCATCTGGTCGCGTGCCTTGACAAGAAGCTCTTGCATCCGACGCAAGAAAAGAAGATGGTCGTCGCTCTCGGCCGTGGGTGGAGTAATTGTGTCCAATGGTGACGTGACCGGCGAGCCGTGCTCGAACTCGAAGGGCGATATCGCAATAGCCAGGTGAATGGAAGAGTTGTAGGCCAACTCAACGTCCGGCAGTCGCTCAACCCAGTCTTTCTGGTCGGGGCGGATGAGAGTGCGAAGGAGAACCTGTGCGGTCTGATGCGCCCTCTCCGTCTGGCCATCGATCTGAGGGTGGCGAGTTGAACTGGGCTTGAGAGATGAGCCCCATCGCTTGATGAGCGCCAACCAAAAATCGGACATGGACTGAGTGTCGCGGTCGCAGACGATCTCCTTGGGGTAACCCTTGGTGCGAATCCAACCGGCGTACAAAACCTCGGCCAACTCCGGTGCCTTGGCATGATAGCGACAAGGCAAAAAAACATGGCGAACTTGGTGAGTCGGTCGACCACCGTGAGAATCCCATCCACTCCGGTCTTGTGCTTGGGGACCGGGCCAGTGATGTCCATGGCAATCGCTTCCCTTCGCCTCAATGGGACTGACAATGGTCGTAGCTCGCTGTACGGACAATGGTTGCGGGATTTGCAGCGTCGGCAAACCTCGTATGACTCGCAATAGCGTGTGACGTCGTCGAGAAGGCCGGGCCACCAAAATCGCTGGCGAAGTCGGCCAATCGTGCGATTGACTCCAAAATGTCCAGTGGCGGGAGCGTCGTGGAACTCGCCAAGAAGCCGTGTRAGCAAGTGAGGATCACTCGGTACGCAAAGAAGGTCCTTCCCCCGCGTGTGGAGAAGCAAGTACCCCTCCTGGATCCAGTAGTGAGAAGGAGCCGGATTAGGAGAGGAGCAATTCGCGTACTTGTCGCGAAACTCGGGGTCGGCTTGGTAGCCGCGGATGAAGCT